TGTTTGTTTGGGTTGGATGGGGTAGGGACCCGCGGTGGTTCGGGAAAAAAGCTTGTATAGGGTAGGGGGGGGATTTGGAAGGTCAGCCGAAATAGCCCTAGGAAAGGGTAAGGGTTCCCGAGCCCCCGCGGCCCCCCCCCACCCAAAAATTCCCAAAATACCCCCCCCCCCTCCCGGAGCCATAGCTCATAGCTCACTTCCGAAAAGAGTGATAATAGCCTGGGACCCAAACTAAGCGCGAACATTTATGGCATTGTTTGGGGGGACAAGTCGGGCGGCCACCTTCAATTATGACGTGAAATGCAAGTCGTTGTGTGCCTTAGTGCACAAATAACTTCAGGAACTCCCCTGGTCTGGCATTTTATAGAATACCAAGGGCAAGACGTATCCAGCGAGAATGTGTACGTTTGCTTCGGAACGCTAATTTGAACGCTGTGGCTATATGGCCGGCGGTCAAGGTTTTCAAAACACTAACTGTCCGGTAGTCTTGTCTTTTCTATCAATTTCACAAATCGAAAAAAACAGCTAATTTAAACTATCATATTGATTAAGAAGCTAAGAGTCAAACGATTCTGAAACGTTTTATAGGTCTCAATTTAACGTTTAGTTTACGCTCAGGGCTCAGAAAACGAAACCATGTATTGTGACACTTACAACTTTTTAAAGGTCGACTGCCGGTCAAGATTTTCAAAACACTAAATGACCGGCAGTAGGAAAGAGGAAATGGGAAAGAGGAAAGAGGAAAGAGGAAAGGGGAAGGAAGAAAGAGGAAAGAGGAAAGAGGAAAGAGGAAAGAGGAAAGAGGAAAGAGGAAAGAGGAAAGAAGAAAGAGGAAGCTGTAGCCTGCGTAGCAAGCGTTCCCGCACGAGTTCGTCCTGAAAGTGTGGAAGAGAGCAAAAAAAAGGAGTGACGGGGGAGGGGGAGGGGAAAGAAGGAAACGCTTGCCGGCAAACCCCACGATTTTGAAAAACTACGTTCGCCCACAAACGCAGCTTCTGATTGATGCGGTGCTAGTAGTGTTGATTACTTAGCACTCGAAACATCAAACCAGGTATGTTTTGTTTACGTGCATCACAGATCTGGTCTCATGTCTCATCTGATTTGTGCTCGCAGATTACAAATGCTTTGGATGCGTAAAGGTGGGATCTGGCCTCACAAAAGGGAAGACAATAGAGGAATTCGCCTGGCTAATGTTAGTTTAACCGCCTACTCCACTATGAATTCGGTACTGCCGCGCGTTCGTGGTAACCAATGTACGTAAAAGACTCCTATGACACTGTACTGTCGCAATTTGTAATAATCATCGCACTTTGTAATACCTGTCGCAATTTGTAACAAATCCATCGCACTTTGTAATACCTGTCGCAATTTGTAATAAATCTTGTCGCACTTTGTAATAAAAAAGCTGTCGCAATTTGTAATAACAGTCTATCGCACTTTGTAATAAACTAAGCTGTCGCAATTTGTAATAATTCCATCGCACTTTATAATACCTTTTTGAGAGTGACTCAACTTACTTCGTTAACATTAATATAATGCCAAAATATGCATGGTACTTCATAAACAAAGATGATGACGTCTGCTAGTACGTAACATCACCGTGTCATGTTCTTTGGTCAAACATGCATGTCTTCCGCTATAAATTTTTCTGCCTTGATTAATCACGTGACCAACTAGAATCGCTTCTATGAAAGACATGAAACTTCCTGTGACATATCACCAAAAAGATATGAGTCATGTTTAAATTCAAAAATATTTAAATAACAAAAGCAACATTTAACAACAGAAAATTCATGAATAATCTAGTATTCGTCGTCCAAATCTATATTTGCTTGCCACGTGACACGTGAAGTCTTGGAGGGGGGGGAGGGGTGGAAAATCCCATATATGGATGGGCTAGGTAGGTAAGTACCGCCCGATAGTGTATGGTTTTTGAGGATTTTGAGCCTTTTAACCTCAAGCTATATTTGTTTAAATTCACAATAAATAAATTGCAAATACAGACTACTTGCAGAATAGAGGAGCTAATCGAGGCAGGTAGTATGGACACGTGTCTATTACCCAGTATACAATATTTTTCTAACGACATAACTATATACAACAATTACAAAATTACAATAATTACATGTACAAGCGGCTAGAGGAGTGATAGAAAACTTGTAGACGTAGAGGCCAAAGAAACCACAAGCACACAAATAGAAACAAGAAAAGTTTAAATTCTTTTCATTTCATTTATCAACATATCTATATCAAGATAAGAATCCTGTTTTCAGAAGATTTGAAATAAGGATTCAGTTATTTTTTTCTTGAATCTATATTTTGGGAGCTGTCTCATAACATCTGGAATACTGTTCCAACTTTATTTAGCGTAGTATAGAGGACAGAGAATAACTTGTCAACATCAGGTTCTCTCTCAGAAATTAAAGTCTGAGAATCAATCTGTGATAAATCATGTAAAAAATTTTCCTCTGAAATGTGTGAGTAATCACGAAAAGAGCATTTCTCGTTTTTACCAATTACTGTAAGAGAGCACACAATACAAAATTGAGTAAAGTGATCAGTAATATCCGAAATTACATTTACCACTAATAATATCACCATCAAGTTTATTTGTAAGTATATTATCCCCCATTCAATTAAGGAGAAGGAGTTGTTATGCACGATAGTTGAGCTCATTTAATAAATGAGTTTGAAAGTTTTTAAGATTGTGCTTGAGACTGCGTATATTTCTATGTATAAGAGAAACTGTTTAGAATTAGATTGACGGCTTAACTTATCTTTGAATTGATATAATCTGTGCGGTGAATGATATTTGCAACGAATGGGGCGGAAAGGTGAGAGCTCAGAGTCAGAGTTAGACTTTTCATCAAGATTTAAGCTAAAAAGATCAATGTCGTGAAGGCTGGGCAAACGCTCCTGCAGCCTAGTACCATCAAACTCTTGGCCGTTGAACTCAAGGCTCGCTTCATCTTCTTGATTCAAGATGGCCGAAGCGCGGCTTTCACTATTGACATTTAACTAACAATACATTCTTGGTCCGTAACTCGTTGCTCCTGCTTCTTCAACTCTTTTTCAGCTTCCTTGAGCTGCTTCTTCAGCTCTCCGTTACTTTTAAAGGGATTTTACTGAGACGGGCATTAAAATTTGAAAATAAATGGACGGTAACTGGGAGAGTAAAAAGACACGTACTGTCAGTACACGCACATGCGCAAGAGTATCATTTTTTACCTTGTTGGCCTTGTGTCTTTGGTTTGATCCTTAGATAGGGTAACTCAAGTATTAATGGATGGTTTATTCCATCCTTTCCATCTTGTGGGAAAAAAAGTAATCCTGAACACGCTCGGAAGAATTGCAAGGTCTTGTTGTATATACGCAGGGAAGAATTTTTTACTATCCTCATGGTATTTGCTTTAGAGGGCTCCATATAGAAAAAATTGTTTTAGGATGGAATGAGTACTCCTTTTGTTCCTATATGGGACCAAATCAAGAGAGAATAATGGACCAACTGGCCAGCCGGCTCAGTGTTAGACCCCAAGTGAGTTTTATAAAAACAGGTGCATGCAAAGGTATTGGCCAGCGACTAATTGGATTTTGTGCTTATGTTTCTGGTGTGGTTCGACGGTTTTGGTGACTTTTTTTGTTTATTTACAGTAAACATTTTGAATCTTTCCAGGCCTCGTTTGATTAAGTTGGCCAAAGTATGGAAGCAATTATTACTTCTTTAAGATTGCGCGTTTGGCAAGGAAGGTGTTGTGTCGACGTATTATGAGATCCAAAAAGGAAAGCTTGAACTTTCCTGTTTTCCTTATTCGAATGATTTAGGATGGATGTTACGAATTGCGGAAATTAAATGCTTTTTAATAATGGCTCGTTTTTGTCTAGTGTGTCTAGCTCTGTCTAGATCCTGTACTCTGACAATGCTCTGTCCAGAGGCACATCCCAGTATTGGCCATATAAGGAAGTACATCCGCGCCGGGTAACCATTGAATGCAAACCACCTAGTACAGTAGCAAGGTTTAAGAATACAGCATTTCGTAAGTCAGATAACTAATCAACATTAATTTAAAAAATATATATGTTTAGGACTGTTAATAAAGTTAAATGGTTTGAATGAGCGGAGATGTTACGTGCTAGCAGACGTCATCATCTTTGTTTATGAAGTACCTTGCATATTTTGGCATTGACAAGGTAAGTTGAATCACTCTCAAAAAATTATTACAAAGTGCGATGGAATTATTACAGATTGCGACAGCTTAGTTTATTGCAAAGTGCGATGGACTGTTATTACAAATTGCGACAGCTTTTTTATTACAAAGTGCGACAAGATTTATTACAAATTGCGACAGGTATTACAAAGTGCGATGGATTTATTACAAATTGCGACAGGTATTACAAAGTGCGATGATTATTACGAATTGCGACAGTACAGACACACCTAAAGGCTTTCACCGACAGTAATTGTCACGAGAACAATAGCCATTTCTCCCGATGATTTCGCTGAACCTACTTTTTCAAAAATCAGGCTAGATATAGAAAAGGGCATTCAATCATAGCACAATCTACAATTTTTTGGCGTAAACGACGCCGGGTTTGTTGCTTGTTATTTATTTTTATATATACACCGCAGTTATTTCAGGACACTAAAACTACAAATTTTTTTTTTTATTATTATTATTATTTCCAGCAGTTTTTTTAATTTTAAAAAACAGCGTCAGAAACAAAACACAGACAAAAATAATACGTTAATTTTGTTTTTCTTTTAATGGTTTTTGACATGTTTTTTCAGCTATCTTTTTTCTACTTTAATAATACTGGGAGATGTAAAGAATCAACCATACGAGGACACAGAAAAAATCTGAGCCCCAGATATGGGATTCGAACCCACGACCCTCCGTGTTCTAGATCGGATGCTCTAACCTCTGAGCTACTGCGGACTCGTTGGCGAGCAAGGGTCATTAGAGCATGTTAGCATCGACAACGAGTACGAGTTCTAGAACAAGATCAGCGATTTTGCGTACTGTGCATCCTTTTTGGGCATCTCCACGTTTTCAAGTCGTCCTGTCAAGTTGCACTACGACGAGTTCTCACCAAAAACTCGAAGTGGGTAGAACGACTGGGAAGAGCTGGTTTTCAAAGGTAAATTCCGATAATTTAATGCAGTTTCTTTTCGTTTCTAGCCTCTCTTTATCATCTTGAACATTCCTTATATTATGTTTTATGTAAAATACTGCTTTTGAAGTCGAGGAAAAGCAACCGAACGCGATATTTCCTACACAGTTCTATAAACTCGAACTCGGTGTCATCGCTAACATAGAAAGCTGAGAAAACGACTTCGAGTACGAGTACGGCTTGAAGTCGTTCTCGTACTCGTACTCGTTGTTGATGCTAACATCCTCTATTTTTGTGGGTTGGACTTGCGAACCGTATCTCGCAGTCACACAGTCCATCACTGCGAGATGCGATTCGCAAGTCCAACCCACAAAAATGACCCTTGTTCGCCAACGAGTCCTCAGTAACTCAGAGGTTAGAGCATTCGACCTAGAACACGGAGGGTCGTGGTTCGAATCCCATCTGGGGCTCAGATTTTTTCTGTGTCCTCTTATGGTTGATTCTTTACATCTCCCTTTATTTCCTTTACAATATTAATATCAGTGGCATAGGTTAATAACGCTGGCAAACTTTATATTTTATGTCGGCCTGACGAAGACACGTTAAACAACTTCTAGTCAACCTTGCCCATCTTTAGCCAAATAAGCTTTTTAACGTATTCTAACAGTGTATTTCTAATGAGGGTTTAATCATTGTATGGATACTTAAAACTCGAGATATCAAGTATTAAATCATCATCATTATTCTCATTTACAACTATTTTAATTCGTTAGTATATATAGTACGTTTCAGTGGCAATAAGACCAGGTCACTCTTCGAGTACTGAAATTCCTTTAGTATATAAACACTTCTGTCCATTTAATTTTTGAGAGCATCAAACTACCGTGTAGCATGAAAATTTTGCGGGTTCTAATTTTTGCGAATTTTGCGGATTGACCTCGATCCGCAAAAATTAGTTCCCGCAGAAAAAAAAACCCGCAAAATAAAACGCCGCAAAAATTAACTACCTTTAGTCAAATTAAAAACTCTGCTTTTAATGGACTTGTTGTGTATGGTAGGGATAGCCTTTTGTTTTGTTTTGCTGTTGTTCAGTCCCTTTGAGTTTGTTCAGTAAGATATTACAGTGATTACCGTATTATTCTCCATTAAATATGTAAGTAGAGTGAATTTTGACTCAACATACCGTAAAATAAAAGTTGAAAATACCGTATTAAGGTTTGCGCCACTTAAATATTCTGTTTCTTGAACGGAGAATCGCAAAAATTAGTTCCCACCAGAAATTTCAGTCATCTCGAACAGTAAAAATTTGTTCCCGCAAACCACAAAAAATCGCCAATCCGCAAAATAAAACTCATGCTACACGGTAGTTGAAATTGAGACACGGCAAACATCAACTGACCAAAACTACGGTGCTGCAGTTTGTGTTGGGAGCTCCTTCAGACGTTGCAGAATCCTTTGTTGTTGTTGTTCACAATTTGTGACGGAATAAATTAATGGGACGCTTAATCTTAGGGCGTGTTCGATTGACCGTATTTCGGAATCAGAATAAATGGAACAAACCCTTGAAATCAATAATTTAGGCGTTCGTTGTTTTGTAATAACTAGAAATCTACTTGAAATGAGATATCCCGATGACTGTAGCTTAAGCGGCCAAAAAATCACGGCACAAGAGATTTGCAACATAACAAAGCTTTTGCGTGTTCATATTCCGGAATACGGTCAATCGAACGCACCCTTATTTGGTCGGTAAGATCAAAATGCCAGTAGGAGTGATAGGAGTACTTTTGAAGGTTGAACACTGTCAAATCCACAAAAACATATAACAAATAAAAGATTTTGGCGAGCTCCATAACCGCGCATTACACTTTATTAACTATGTTTTGAAAGTTGATTGAATTTCTTCACTGCGACAATGCTCTATCCCTAGAGCTGTTTGAAGGCACTCGCATATCTGTAGCCGACAGAAGCTCTGCTACTGTGCGGGAGTTACCTTCATTAGTCAAACAAGTAGGGCAGCAACACAAACACAGCCCCACCAACTGCTTGAAGGCCCGACGGAATTCTGGGATTTTAACGGCATAGACAATCGGGTTTACCGCTGAATTACTGTAGTGCATGAACTTGACAAACAAAAGAAGGTTCCTATTGAAAATTTCTGGTCGGCATTTTTTGCAGAACACTATAAGCAATTGAACGATAAAGAAAGGTAACCACGCAACGACGAAAAAACCAATCACGAGAGCGATTGTAACTGCAATGCGCATGTCACGCTTCATTGTACGTGAGGTGTCCCGGCCAGGTTGTATTCGACTGTTAGCAGCGCGCCAAATTCGCGCGTAGGTGAAGAGAATAACGAGTAAGGGAATGACAAAAAATGCAATAAACAAAAACAGCATGTTGGCTTCCCGATTCACGTTTCTCAACTCCACTGAGGAGCCACAAGCAGCGGCTGGAATGACCCACACAGCTACAAGGAAGACGTAGTATACTTTTGCAGTCGTGTTTCGATGACGAATTGGATATACCACAGCAAAGAAGCGCTCTAAGCTGATGGCCACCAGATGCAAAATCGAGCAGGTGCCAGCAAAAAGATCCAAGACGTAGTAAACTGTTTGTAGGGTAGGTCCCCCAGACGAGTAAAGTAGCATCGAAATCCATATAGGAATGGAAATTACTCCAACAAGAATGTCCGCCACTGAGAGACTCACAACAAAATAGTTTGTTATCGTGCGAAGGCGAGAATGACGAATAAAGGATCCCACAACAAGTCCGTTTCCAAATACTGCTAAAAAGGCAATGATGACGTAAAGCGTACATGAGACGATCACCGATTCTTCCTTGAAGTTAGGATTATCGATCATAGGAGGAGGGCGGCCAGAATTGGCATCTGGCTGGTTCGCCATCTTGAAAGTTCCTGAAAGTATTTTGAATGTTGTTAGGGATAAATATTACAGCATATTTAGGAGTAGGTTGTTTGGCGCTGGGTGCCCATGTCCACCCCGTCTTACCACCACCCTTTTTTACCCATCTTCGGCCTTATTAACGTCTGAGGACGGTTACACTTTAGAGATCGGCGCAGCTCAGCTTCACTCCGTTACAGAAATCGCGCCGAAATCTCCGTTCTAGTGTTTAAACAAAAGCCCGTAGCGAAATAGCGCTAACCAGTGAAGAGTTAGCATAGCCTTAGTTTGCAACCAATCGAAACAAACAATGGAAATTTCAAAAGAAATACTAACTGTAATAAAATCACCCGGCTTCCATATGATCTGGAACACGATCGGTGACCAATCTGTGACTCGAGGAGACATATAATGGGCGCCATTTTCGGACCAGAATTGAGGGGCAAAAACATAGCCTCGCCGCCATCGCTAAAATGATTGAAAGCCTGACATTTCTTGGCAGTGTCTTGAATTGCCTGAATTCGTACAAAGAAAACATCTCCGATCGTGTCGCCAGACCACTGTAGACCGTGGTAGATTACATGCACGAGGATGGAAACCAGGCGGTATTGTTCATGGTCTTACATGGTTAATATAATAGGACCACGGCGTGTTGTGAATTCCCAAACTGCGATAACTTTGTACTATATACAAGTGACGCGCTTTGAAGTGAAACTCTTATTAATTTGGTATCGGTAATTCTGAAGCTATAGATCAGGACGACAATTTTGCGCAATTATTTCACACTGTTCACACAGTTTGGAGGTCTTTATAGTGGTAACCACGAGGTTTACTCAGGTGAGCACATAAAGGAACAGAGCTAACAGGAATCAAAACCTTAAAACAATCCCTTTGTTTAATCGAAATATCGTTGAGTGACATAGTAGGCAGATACTAAGGTTTAGTTATTATATTAACAACGCCGTTTCTCTCCCGTTTAAGTCATTTGTAAGTATCTTGTTATACAGTATCTTGTGGTAGGTATTCAAGGGTAGTCAACCTTTGTTTCGTTCGGTTGAAGATCTAAGAAAATGTTGTTGATTATAAGGGAGGTCGGGCACGGAATAATTATTTAATAGGTTTCTTTTCAGCCTTTGGTCAGATTAGTTAAGTGTTTTAGTTTGGCCTCTCGCATCCACTTTTTCCTTTTTATAAGAATGTTGTTGCTGTTTTTTTCGACCCAAGCTGAATATTCTCTATTCTTATTTTCCAACCGATTTTAGGTTGAAAATATTTTTTGTATAATTCTAAAATTATAGCTTTTGACTTTTCCGTTTTAGAATGTATTTGGCCGGTATAAATTGCGGTTGATGCTCGTTTTGCTTTTCGTTTTGGTGGCTATTTTTGCCGTTGAGAGAAAGGAATAATATCACGGTTATTAGGTAAAACATATAATTGCATTGCATTTACAGATTTTCAACACACAAAATTATATCCTTTTCAAAATCTCAGCCTTGAATTTATTCTTATCATGTTCTTAAAAATTTTGCAAATTTCAGCCTCGATATTCTTATAAAATATATTCTCATAGAAAAAGAGTGTAGCTTCTCTAGCAGCAAAGACCAGAATGTTCACTGGCAGGTACATGGAAAAAGGAATGTAAGAAAAAATACAAAATACTTCGGGTGCCTTTTGAAACATAAATAGAAAAAAAAATGACATAAGGCGAAGATTTATTTTCGTTACGTTTAAAAGAGTCAAGTCTCGCTACTAAGACTGACCTTCACTTGGTGTCCCTTTGAGAGAGATGTCCGTCTTATAGAGAATCAAATGAAGGAAGTAAAGAAAGGTAGGGACCAACTCTAGATGTCTGTTTTACAGAGATGTCCGTCTTATAGAGAGTCAAATAAACGGAGTAAAGAAAGGTAGGGACCAACTCTAGGTGTCTGTTTTACAAAGATGTCCGTCTTACAGAGAGTCAAATGAAGGGAGTAAAGAAAGGCAGGGACCAACTCTAGGTGTCTGTTTTACAAAGGTGTCCGTCTTATAGAGAGCCAAATAAAGGGAGTAAAAGAAAGGCAGGGACCAACTCTAGGTGTCTGTTTTACAGAGGTGTCCGTCTTATAAAGAGTCAAATAAAGGGGGTAAAGAAAGGTAGGGACCAACTCTAGGTGTCTGTTTTACAGAGGTGTCCGTCTTATAAAGAGTCAAATAAAGGGGGTAAAGAAAGGTAGGGACCAACTCTAGGTGTCTGTTTTACAAAGATGTCCGTCTTATAGAGTCTAATAAAGGGAGTAAAGAAAGGTAGGGACTAACTCTAGGTGTCAGTTTTACAGAGAAGTCCGTCTTATAAAGAGTCAAATAAAGGGAGTAAAGAAAGGTAGGGACTAACTCTAGGTGTCTGTTTTACAGAGATGTCCGTCTTATAGAGAGTCAAATGAAGGGAGTAGAGAAAGGCAGGGACCAACTCTAGGTGTCCGTTTTACAGAGATGTCCGTATTATAGAGAGTCAAATGAAGGGAGTAAAGAAAGGTAGGGACAAACTCTAGGTGTCTGTTTTACAGAGGTGTATGTCTTATAGAGAGTCAAATAAAGAAAGTAAAGAAAGGCGGGGACCAACTCTAGGTGTCCGTTTTACAGAGGTGTTTCTTCATATAAAATTATGGAAGCGTCGGTTATATGAGAGTCGACTGTATTAGGAAGGTGAAAGGACAGTAAATAGAACAGACTGGCTATATGAAATTGTAGCAAAAAAAAAAATGAAAAAAACAAACTTGCATTGTGGTGCAGTTTATGCAGTGAGCGCTCAAACCATGCACAAACACATTAGTGTTCACAGATAATGTGACTAGCTGAATATGACACGCAAAGTAAAGAAATATAAAAATCTAGTTAAATCAATTATTTTGAAATCAGACCATTTGATGGTGGTGAAATAGGGTTTATTTGCACGCTTTTGTATGGGTCTGATGCTTTGAATCGATAGGTATCTTTGCTGTTAACGGATTGTAAGTGCTAACCTAAAAATATTAACTCAGGGATGATAAAATAGGCACATTTCAAACAGCGTTTAATCCTTCATTAATTGCACTTCTATAGACTAGTTATGACCGGTACAATGAGCGTGCTGAAAACTGCTGGAAAGAATCTATCAAAATTAATACAAATTTTGATTGTCAGTGAACTGGCTCTTTTAACACGTATACTGACATGGTAAGTATACTACATGTGCCATATGTTATGGCATTGTAGTGTGATTTAAAAACTAATGCTACTGGCATGCGGGGCAGAATACCGGAATTTAAACGACAAGTTAGCAAATTTGATTCATTAATATCATTGACGCAAGCCATTTAAAAGTTACACAACATAATCGATTTTTCTCTTTTAACGAGGATACCTCTGTTATAAGCGGTGAGGTGAAAGTTATTAAGGTTTCAGTGAAACGCAGGTGCTTTTCAAGGAGATGAAAGGCAGTGTTTTGATGCAGTCTTTGTCGCACTTTCTTGCTTACCCCTAAAGAATGTTTTTAGGAATGGAGTAAATACTGAAATATTCCCACGTATGGTCTATATTTAACCAGTTATCATTATTTTTTTCAAATACATAAAATGCTAAAACGTATCAGTTAATCCTGTGACGCGAGGAGAAGCTGAAGAATGTTGTGAATTCGACACCGCGCAAGTGAAAACAGAAGAAGACGAATTTCACTGACTTACTCGTCAATATACGCCGGTTCAATGCAGTTGTCAGAAGAGTAACTGAATAATATATTGGGTTACCTCGACTCTTCGCTTCAAATCGAATGACTCAGACTGAATTTCGATCAAAATTCCTTCGTAGCTTTGACATAAGAGACGTCTTGTAAGCGTAGGTAAAAACTTACTGATTAAGTTGTTTGCGACCTTTAATAAAAAACGTGCTCCTTTAAATTAAGGAAAAGAGCTCTACTTTCATGAAATAATTACTTAAAAGGTATTTCACTAGTCAGATTAGAGGTCTCTTAACCGACATGTTTACCTAAAACTCTGTTTAAAAAATGAACGAAGCGCAGCTTACAAATTATGAATCACGAAAACTGAAAGCCAAGAGCGGGTTGTAGCGGCGTTTCCTATTAAACTCTTTCGGAAGAAGAATAAGATTGTATAAGACCGTATAATGCTCTCAAGGAATATGAACTTGGACCAATCAGGCTGAATGCCAAATATTCACAAAAATCCCGCCAGTATATCCTAGTATTAAAGAAAAATGTCATCATTGCTTAATTATTTACCTTGCGTTTCTTTCTCCCGCAGGAATCGTTGTTAGAACCTCTCTATTTTTGTCAACAGCTTCTTGATTGACGCGCTCTATTCTTTGCTTTGCTTAATCACCAAGCCGAGCTGTTTCAGGTTAACAGTTTTTTCCCTCTTCCACCATTGTAAACCTTCGTTGCCAAGTGTTGCAAACATGCTGTCACTTTTTGTTTATTTACTTCTTTCTCTTCGTCTATATTAAATTTCGTGGAACACTCTTTCACTTTGACAAGACTAATTGAGTGTTATAAAGGGAAAAGTAACTTCATGAATATTAAATACACTTGGTTTATGGCTTCTTTGTCGCTGCCATTAATTTGTTTACACAGTAAGAATTGACATGCACCCTCAGATACATAACTTAACAAGCGCACAGTCAAAGTCAGGAAAAAAAGGACTGTATGATTTGAGAGGGCTCGTTTCGTCATTTCTAGTTTACGGCGTGAAATTCAGTCATGGAAAGATCCATAATGGAAAACCAACTTCCCGATAAACTTCAAGCGTTTAATTGATCTAAAAATTACTTTGGTGAAATTCACATATCCCAAGGGCTAGACTGTGCGTTTTCCGTCACATTGTAGTTCTTGCATTGGTCATATCATAGTGACAACGTTTAAATCTTGTTTTAAGTTTCGTTATTGAGTGTTTTGAGATGATCAATGAACACGTTGTTAACCTCTATGTGGTTAATCATGCTTATAGCTTGTTCGTTCGCCTATTTCGTCATCA